TGTGTGTGTGTGTGTGTGTGTGTGTGTGTGTGTGTGTGTGTGTGTGTTATTACTATAAAATTTTTTACTATGAATATTTTAGTATAAATGGGACCTTTGCCATACCCCTAGATGCCACCTGAGTCTGTGGAAATAGGGAATATGTTACTCAAATATAGCCCTTGTCATGCTATGTTCCAGGTATCCCACATTGGGCTGGTTTACTCTGTGTACTACAACTGGGATGCCCCTCATTCCCTCTCTTGTATTCCCCTCTTTGATCCTTAACTCAGCCTTCTTTCTCCTTCAGCCATGCCCAGGGAGAGGGGGCTACATACTTATAAGGGTTCCAATCAAGTCTATCCCTGCTCAGGGTGTACACTTTCTGTCCCCCCTCCCCTCTCCTTCTTCCCTCCTCCCCACCTCCTCTTTCCCCCTTCTCTCCCCCCTCCCTCCCCCTCCTCCCCCTCCTCTTCCCCTCCTGCCTCTTCTCTTCCTCTCCTCCCCCTCCTCTTCCCCTCCTGCCTCTTCTCTTCCCCTCCTCCCCCTCCTCTTCCTCTCCTTCTCCCCCTTCTCTTCCCCTCCTCCCCCTTCTCTTCCCCTCCTCCCCCTTCTCTTCCCCTCCTCCCTCTCCTTCCCTTTCTTCTCCCCAGCCCAAAGATGGGGGGTCCTCCCCTTGAGCCCAGGGAAGGGCAGGGTGGAGGGTGGAGTTAGAAGCTCGAATGCCCATTGGCTGCTCGGACTGTCAGTCAGCGTCTGCCTCCTCTCCAGCCTCTCTTTCAGCCTTCTTCCTGCTGCGAAAGGCCTGTTCTTGGTGGGGAGGCTGGAGCGGGGCCAGGTGAGCCTGGGGCAGGTGGGGAGGGGGGCACGGATGGGGCCCAGAACTCCCATGGGGGGCCAGACCCTATGCTAGGCCCGGGCACAGCCGCCTGGGAGAGGGAGCCCTGCCCTCAGGGAGCATCCACTCTTACTGACTTAACAATTATTCGCAGGTGGATGATCTGCAGTAAGTTAGTGGAGCCCCCTCTGGGCCCCTTTGCTATTCTGGGCCCTCCCCGGGGGAAGCCCGAGTGAATTTTAAGGGGAACCTGGGCTCAGGCAGAGAAGTGTGCGCGGGGCGGGGGGGCACAGACCTGCCCCGCCCCGCCCAGCCCAGCTGGCAGGCTGTTTTGTAGGGGCACTGTTGGGGCAGTTGATCTAGCTTTGTAGGCGTTGGAAAGAAATGACTCCCTGCTTTTGGTTTTCATCTTTTCTTCCTTGCTTGCTTGGCTCTTAAAGACTTTGTCCTTCAACCAGAGGAGGATACCTGGATGTTAAGAGACAGGTAGATGTGGTTCTGCACCCCTTGAGAGGTGAGGGTGACTCCTTCCAACTCAAAGATCCTTGGCTGCCTCAAAAATATGATTAATGACTCAAATTTACATAGCACTCTGAGGTTTAGATAGAAAAACCTTTCAGGTATACAAGACAAATATTCCCCATTTTATAGATGAGGAAGCAAACCCAGAGAAATGCAGATAGCACAAATATTCCCTATTTTACAGATGAGGAAACAGACCTAGAGAAGGATAGATGGCACAAGCATTCCTTATTTTATAGATGAGGAAACCGACTCAGAATTGTAGATAGCACAAATAGTTCCCATTTTGTAGATGAAACAGACCCAGAGAAATACAGGTAGCACAAGTATTCTCCATTTTATAGATGAGGAAACAGACCTAGAGAAATATAGATAGCACAAGTATTCTTTTATAGATGAGGAAACAGTCATAGAGAATTGTAGATAGTAAAATATTCCCCATTTTATAGATGGGGAAATAGACCTAGAGAATTGTAGATAGCAAAATATTCCCTATTTTATAGATGGGGAAACAGACCTAGGGAATTGTAGATAGGAAAATATTCCCTGTTTTATAGATGGGGAAACAGACCTAGGGGAATTGTAGATAGCAAAATATTCCCTATTTTATAGATGGGGAAGGAGACCTAGAGAAATGTATATAGCACAAACATTCCCCATTTTATAGATGAGGAAACAGACCCAGAGAAACTAAAGGATTTAGCCTCTCTAAGGCCACACACCTAGTGAGCATCAGGGCCAGGTTTCTAACACAAATTTCTTGACTCCAGTGATTTGGCACTTTGCACTCCACTACTGCCCTCAGTCCAACTGACCTAGAGAGGGATGCAGACATGATTAGAAGACTCTTCTCTGGACCTCAGGGGAGTGTGATGATGTTTGAAATAGTAATAGTAAAAAAAAACCACAACTGCCTTTTTAAAATGATGCTTTAAGCTTTACATAGTACTTTGCATGGATTAAGTCATGTAAGGCTCCTAAAAGCCGTGAGAGGAGGTGCTACAGGTTTTATCCCCATTTGCAGGTGAGGAAACTGATGCTTAGGGAGATGAAGTGATTTGCTGATGATAACACAGCCATTTGTGGATGGTCCCAAGTTGTTTTCAGGCTTGTTTTTTCCTTCACTTTTTCATACCCAGTTGTTCTGGTAATTATCTGATGCTAAGTATTAACAGCTGCCAAAGATTGTTATAGATGGGGAAACAGTCTGCTGGGCCACACAAGTAGAGGCTCTAGTTGTGCTGTTGAGCTGCATTGTGGTAGGAGGTGCTTCCTGGTGCAGAGTGGAGACCTCTATTAGAATCCCTTAACTCTCAGGGACTCGGTAATAAGCGTAATCAAATCATGTGAGGAGACTGATGCTTAAGGAAATTAAGTGAGCTGTTGAAGGTGGAGTACAAACCCAGGTCTTCTTGACTCCAAATGTAGCATTTGATCAGATTTTTCATCCTGAGGCAATAATCCTAGAACTGCTTATGAATATTTGAGGGGCCCAACTGACCAATGCTTTCCCAGGCAGGGTTAGAATTAAACAGAATGCAAGCATCTTTTCTAACCTGACCTTGTTTCCATTAAGTTAAAGGCCGTAAAATTTAGAGCTGGAAGAGACCCAGAACATCATTTGGTCCAACTCTGTCTTTTTACAATTGAGGAAGGTGGTCCAAAGAGAGGAATGACTTGCCCAATGGCATAGAGGCATAAAGTAGCAGAACTCGAATTTAAACCTGCACGCTCAGCTCCAATGCCTGTGTTCTTTCCACTGTACTATAGTGCTGTTATCCCGATGGAGAGTTTGTCCCGACCTAGGCAAGGGGAGTTGGGAGAATCGGAGTACTCTTGGAGCCACGCATGGAATAGAGGCAAAAAAAGACCAGAGGGTCTCCCACGCCATCAACTCTGGGGTATAAACCCATTAGATATTAGTATAAGGACAAGCTCATGGAGATTGGTCTAAGGTTCCAGGGCAGGGGTTATTCTTCTTCTTGCTTTGGGGGAAGGGAGTGTTTCTTGACACAAGTATCTTTCATTTAATAGATTAGAGGTGGAGAACAGCAATGCCTCCAATATGAAGATGATGTTCTGGACCTGCAATCAGAAAGATGTTTTGTTAGTGAAAATTTGTCCAGTGGGACATTGGAGGAATTGGTTTCCATTGAGTAGCGTCATCCCAGGGTTATAAGTTATGGAGGGGCATGAGGGTAGGGAGTAGAAGGGAGGGGTCTGTTACTAAGGAAGAAAATGTTTTTCTCTTATCTTATCCAGGGATTCAGCTCGCAACTACAGCCGTGACGGTCTTCTGCTATAACTAGATTTCTGTAATTCAATATGGAAATTTTGCTGTAATGCTCCCTACCCTTCACACTGCTGACAGACTGATGTTCCTTTTACACAACACTCCTCAGAAATCTTCCTTGGATCCCCATTGCTTGCTGAGTAAAGTTCAAATTCTTTGGCCTGGCATTCACGGCTTTACAAAATCTAGCACCTGACTACTTTTCCGACCTTCTTTCATATTACACTCCTCCACACATTCTGTGTTCCATTCAAACATTGTCTCCTGAACCAACCCTGCTTGTCTGCCTCTATTCTCTGTTCTCCATTCCTCCCTGCTCCCTGCTTTGCCTGTTGAATTCCTATTACATCTCTAAAGCCACCTCTTCTAGGAACGCTTCCCTGATCTCTTGGGAGGTAGTGTTTCCCCCTTGGAGTAGACATAGAACTTTGTTCTATACCTCAGTGGTGCAGTTATTATGTATTATGTCTTTATGTCTTATTCACTGCTGCTTGCAATTTGGCTTACGTAAACTTTGTGTCTTCCCCTGTTGTTAGCACAGTGCTTTACATGTACTAGGCACCTAATCATGTTTGAGTGCCATTTACAAAGTGAGAAATGCATTAGGAGCAGTTTATCTGAAACTTGTGTGTTTCAGGCAGTGTGACAACATTCTTCCCCCTCATCAGAGGAACATACTTTGTTCTTTTACCAACATTGCCCAGGTTCTTCATAAGGCAGAGGGATTCAGACTAGGGAAGAAGCAGGAAGGAAACGAGTTTGATTAGATTAGCTGTATAAGGGTTATGGTTTTAGCAAGTAAATATTTGATTCAATTCAGTTCATCAAACATTGAACCGGGGAAAGTAGAAGGAAAGAAGATGGCAGAGGGGTTTACTGGAGGTTGAAATGTGTAAGTGATTTTGTAAACAAGAATTTTGGGAGATATTTTGAGGGATAGGCAGTAAAAACCAAACATCATGTTTTCTGAGTACCTACTACGAGCAAGGCACCACACTGTTGTACTGTGGGGAGTCTAGGCCCCATAGAGAGAGATCTAATAATATAAGACTGCATATAATAAATGGTAGAGACTTGGAGGTGGGACTGAAAGAAAAGGATTAAGAAAGGCTTCATAGGCCTTTCCAGGCCTGAGGGGTAGGATTTGGATTGGGGGACAAATGGGAAGAGAGCATCCCAGGCTGGGGAATGTTACATACAAAACCACTGGGGGAAGGAGTGGATGAGTGGGACATGTTGGGGAGCCTTGAGTAAACCAGACTAGTTCATAAAAGGAAATAGAGGAAGAAAAGATTGGAAAAGTCCAAATTGCAGGCCAAATTGTAGAGGTCCTTGAATGCCAGATCAAAAAATCTGAACTTTATCGTCTAAACACCTGGGTGGCTCAATGGTACTGGACTTGGAGTCAGGAAGACTCCATCAGACACTTATTTGGCTGGGTGACCCTGGGCAAATTGCCTAACCTGTCTTAGCTTTGGTTTCATCATCTGTAAAATAGAAATAATAATAGCACCTCCCTCACAGGGTTATTGTGAAGATCAAATGATTTAACCTATGTAAAGCACTTTGCAAACTTTAACACCTGTATAAATGCAAGCTACTATTACTATTAATGATAATAGTAAAGAATGGGAGGCCATTGCAGGAAAACCTAATTTCAAACTTCCTCATTCCTGCTCTGACATTTTATGTCATAGTTTGATCTGGAGAAGAAGTAAAATAGGAGAGCTCATGCATGACACCTGGGTTAGCTTAGTAAAAGGAGGTTTGAGATAAAGGGGAGAATTGGAGCTTGAGGAGTATGGAAAGGACTTTCCTGTCTCTCCAGTTAGAATACATGTGCTTTGAGGGTGATTCTTTGTATTAAGAAATGTAAGGAGCCTAGTACAATAGTGGGCACACAAAACCACAGAGTGTTAGAGGTCATGGGACCTTAAAGATCATCTACATCTCCCATTTCACAGAAAGGGAAACTGAGATTCAGTGAGGTGAAATGACTTGCCCAAAGTCAGATCTGGTTAGTGCTCTAAATGGAGGGGGAGTTAGAATGAATATCCATGCTCATGTTGCTGTTGCCACACTCTTCCCTCTGCCCTGGTCACTCAGCAAATCTCTTTTCCTTTGAAGTTCACTCTGCTCAGATTTATTATCCAGTCTAGATCCTGGTGGCACTTACCTACCAGCTCCCAGGGCATTCTGTCCCCTTTTGTAATGGGTTCAGTACCTGTCCTGTAGCCTTCCTCTCCGATCCAACTCCTGTCTTCTACCTAGGGGACCTCAGCATGCATGTTGATGTTCCCTCAAGCACTGTAACCTCTCAATTCCTTTCACCTTACTCAGTAAACTCCAGTGGCTCTCTCTTTCCTCCAGGATCAAATATAAAGTCTTATTCTTGCATTTAAAGCTCTAACTACATTTTTAGCCCTATTGCACTTTTCTGGCCTTCACACTATGGCCCAGCCAATCTCCTTGCTATTTCTCACACATGAGACTCACTCTTCTCCCATCTTGCTCTTTGCACTGACTGTACCCCATGCTTGGAATGCACTCTGTGTTGACTCCCAACTCTTGGAATCCCTGGTTCCCTCCATGACTCAGCTCTAGGCTTACCTGCATGAGGGTCTTCCACGTCCCCCAGACACCTCACATTCCCCACCCCGCAAAGGTTACCTTGAATGTGTTTTTGTATGTTTTGTGTATGCCTGTATATGTATATTTTCTTCTCTGTTGGAATATAAGCTCCTTGAGGGCAGGGAATGTTTTGCTTTTGCTAGTGCCTGGTGTATAGTTGGTGTTTAATAAATGTTTGTCAATTGATTAATTCTCTAGCTAGTGTTCTTTCCATTGTGGTACTGCTGCCTGCTTTAGAAATGTTAAGAAAATGTTTACTGATTGAAGGAATAAATGAACGAATTGCTCACCCTGGAACAGAGATAAAAAGGATGGTGGAAACAGGATCCAAATGATTCTTCTGAGAGAAATGATCCTAACGTTTCTTTCCTCTGTTCTCTCATTTGTCCAGCTTGTCTCAACCAGTTTTCCAGTTCTGTTCCCTCTTTCCATCCCCTCGCTCTTTGTTTCCTCCCAGTCCTCCAGTGTATGGATGCTATGTGTGTCTGAGTCCCTGGGTCACTTCTCTCAGCCAGTCTTTGTGTATCTCACTGTGGGCTGGGGCCAGGAAAAAGTATGGGTGGGAAAAACCAGTTTTCCTCCTGTGGAACTGCTGAAAGTGTAGGTGTTCTCTCCTGAGGGCTGGATTGGTGTTGGTTTGTGCTATATATTTTAGAGTTTTCTATTCAATGGACAAGTTGGGTGTTTAGCTTGTTCCCCTGAGGGATATTTGCTCCCCTGATTGGGTTTTGGCCCTTCTCCTCATCCGGTACATCTTATTCATCTCTGGATCCTGCTCCTAGTCTCTTCATGAGCAAGGAGGGCTCTTTTGTAGCCTGTTCCTAATCCTGTTTCCTTCTGGGAAAGGAGCTTTGACAGCACAGAGGATGTACAGGGGAGGTAGTCACTCTGGGAAGCATTTGGTTTTTCATCTCCTGTCCTCCTGATATGCCATAAAGGTTGTGACCCTCTCTCTCCCTCCCCCTCTCCCTTTCCCTCTCCTTCTCCCTCTCCCTCTCCTTCTCTCCAGGACAGATCTCTTAAGACTAGAATTCCAACTCTCCTATACTCTTAGGATTTTATCAGGGAGCTCTGAATCAGTGCCATATGGGGAGCAAACCTCAGAGTAATAAGGAGGTATGTGGTAAGGGAAGATGAGTCTGGGGCAGGGGGGAATCCTCATTCATTGCTGTTCTCATTCACCCCCCCAAATCCATCTGCTATGTCCCTCACTGGCCTTTACCATCCAGAGGCCCATGGCTCTTTTCATTGGAGAACTCTGTTCTGATTAAGGGTCAGACTTCAAGCCCAGAGATACCTCAGAAATCCTGGCTTGTTTTTCCCCCAAAGCTTTGAGCTATGTCTTTACCAGTGGTTTTCTTGCCAGTAATTCAGTATTTATTTCTCTTTGTTAGGCCAGCATGTGGCCCAAAGGCTTTGGGGTGAAGCTGGAAACCATCACCCCATTTCTGGGGAAGTATCGTCCTTTCGTGGGACGCTGCTGCCAGACCTGCACTCCTAAAAGCTGGGTAAGAGTTTCTCAGGGCCACAGGTAATAGGATCCTTTGGAAAAGGGCTGAGACAGGAATTGGAAACATAACAAGGTGTGAGAGACAGGAATAATCAATTGCTTCTAGGAAATGGAGGACCTAGATGTTTTTTTTTCCCCTTACTTTTAACCTTTCATGAAGCTACAGTGAATCTGACCACATGTAAATTTTTTGTGGCCAAGTGGACTGTGGTTGGGAGTTGGGGGACACGGAGGAGCAGAGTGGAGTTTAGAAAATCAGTGCTTAATGTTGACAGCCAAAACTGAAAAGGAGGGAAACAAGCATTTATTAAAGGCCTACTACGTGCTAGACATTGTTAAGCATTTTATAAATAATATCTCATTTGATCACTACAACAACCCTGGGAGGTAGGTGATACTATTGTCGATATTTGGTAGTTGAGGAAACTGAGGCGGGCAGAGGTTAAGCGACTTGCCCAGGGTCACCTAGCTAGTAAATGTCTGAGGCTGGATTCAAACGCAAGTGTTCCCGACTACAGGCTCAGCACTCCACTCACTATGCCGCCCAGCTGCCTCAGAAGAAAGTAGAGTACCGAATATTCCTGAATGACATGGGCTAGATGTCTATAGTGATCTATCTATGACAAACATAACATAGAGCATATGCATGTAGATACCACTGCCTATTTCCAAACATGGGCCATTTCGAGACAGACCTCTCTGGGGCAGTGAGACAAGGTGCTGAAATGTGGCTGAATTGTAACCCAACTTTGGTGAACAGAGTAGGACTTTTCTTTAGGGGAGGGGGTAGAAGGCACCCCTGCCCAGGCCTTGCTGCTCTCACACTTTATCCCATTTTGGTGTCCCTAGGAGGCCCTTTTCCACAAAAACATTGCTGCATTGGGCTTTCACAATGTGATCCTGGTGACTGAAGAGAATACCAGGTAATGTGCCATGGATTGAGAAGGTTAGGTTGTCTCCCTGCCTGAGCTTCTCATTCAGTTAATCAACAAGCATTGATTAGATTCCTGTTGTGTGCCAAGCATTGTAGTAAAGCTCTGGAAATACACATACAAAAGCCTGCTTAGGTTCTGCTGGTGGAGGGGTGGGCACTTTTTCAAAGTATATACGGGCATAAACAAAATAAATAGCTTATGATGTTGGAGGGGAGAGGGGAGACACTGACAACCGAGAACATGGAGAGGTGGCACCTGAGCTGAATTAGGGGATTGGGGGAAAAAGCATTGCAGGCATGGGGGGCAGACAGATTATGCAAAAGCGTGGAGGTGGGAGAGGAAATGAACATAAAGCGCATCAAAGAGAATACAGTACATATCAGCATGGAAAGATAGGTTTGGGCCAGATAGTGAACATCATTGAATTACAAACAGAGGAGTTTATATTTTTATCCTAAAAGCAATAGGGAGGCTTTGAAGCTTCTTGAGCACTTGAGGGATATAGTCAGAATTGAGTTTTAGGAACAGCAATGCTGTGACTTCACATTTATTATCAATATCATATTGCTTGCCTTCTCAAGGGATGGAGGAGGGAGGGAGAGAATTTGGAACTCAAAATTTTAAAAAGTGAACATTAAAATTTTTTACATGGAATTGGGAAATATGTAATGAGATAAATAAAAATATATTTTTAAAAAAGGAATAGTAATGCTGTGTAAAGGATAGACTGGAGGGGAGAGACGAGGCAGGGAGACAAATTAGGAGGCTTTTGCAATAGTCCAGAAAAGTGGTAATGAAAGCCTGGAGAGAGGAGAAAGAGGTAGAAAACTTGGTATGCAGCAGGTCAAAGGAGAGCAGAGTTGAGGCTGACAGTCTTAGAGGCCCCAACCAGAAATGGGGGTTTAGGAGGAAAAGATAATAAGTTTGGTCTGAGATGCCTCTGGGACATCCCATTGAAGATGTTCAGGAAGAAATTAGAAATGCAGGTCTGTAGCTCATGAAGAGAGTTGGGTGTCAGTTTGGGAATGATCTGCATAGAGATGATAGTCACCTCCCTGGAGGCTGATGAGAGCCTCAGTGGAGAGAAGAGGACCCCAGAACAGATCGCTGGGCAGGCAGCAGGACATGGGGGTGGGGGTGACACCAAGAAGGATCAGGTCAGACACAGGAAGATAACCATGACAGTACAGTGCCACAAAGGCCAGGCCACACAGTCAGAAGCTGCAGAGAAGTCTAGAAGGATGAGGACTGAGAAAAGGCCGTCAGATGTAGCTGTAACAGATAATTGATGACCTTGTGGAGAACAGATTCAGAGTGTGGCGATCGAAGCCAGATTGCAAGGGGCTGAGAAGGAAGATGAGAGGAAATGGCAGCAATGAATATAGATATGGAGAGGACATAGGGAATGGTTAGCTTGAGAGTCAGATGAAGGTTTTTTCAAGGAAATGGGGATATGGATAGATCAAAAATTAGGACTTTTCTCCCCTCAGAGATGGGGGAGCCATGTGTGTCATGTGCCCTACTCCTGCAGATCCAGTGGGAAGCAGTGCAAAGACCTTGGCATTGATAAAGTGATGGTTTGTCCCCACTGACAGGGAAGGGAACCCAATCTGAGTCTTCTGAGGGTGGGAGTGGGAGGTGTATTCAGTCTTACGTAATCTTCTCTAGCATTTCCTTCCACCCTAATGCGGAGCTTGTGGGGTGCCTCCCTCCAGGTACCGGGGGTGGTTAGTGCGAAGGCTGTGCTATTTCCTATGTGCGATGGACTGGAAGATCACTCTCACCCCAGATGCCTGGGAGAAGGTTTTGGGCAGCAAGTGGTGAGGACAGTTCTTGGCCCTGCCCTGGGGTGGGCCTAGCTGGAGCATTTGTTTGAACAGTGATTTCTCCCACCTTGGTTATAGCTCACTTAGTTTTCTTCCCCTTCTGACCTAATACCATGGTCATCCTTATTTTTAAAAATGGGAGAAACTGAGGCACCAAGTAGATAGGCCTCTTACCCTCTGTGGGTCACAAATTCTAAGGAGTATTGACCCTGGCCGTGTAATTTATTGTTGGGCAATAGTTCCTAAATACTCCAGTGAAACTCAGGAGGAGGTTGTAGCATTAAGAGGAAGAACCCAAAACCAGGAGCCACGAATCTAGAGTTCTGTTCTGGGTCTGCCTTTCAGTCCTCCCCTCCCCTAATCTCTCTTGGTTGCTTTTGGGTAATGAAGGCTCTGATGTGGACCCTTTCCTTCTGTCCTGGGAACATTGTAGGGCTAAGTGTTATAAAGAGATCCCCTTCCACCATCTATATGTGCTCACCCAATGCGGAGGATTTCTGCTGCCTTGCTCCCCCACAAATACTGACCCCCAGCTCTTTTCCTAGGATACAGGAAATCCTCTCTGGGAGGGCTCCTGGGGGAGCAGGTGAAGGCCCCAAGCCCAGCTCTTTGAGGAGAGACGTACAGCATACGTTGGGCCAGATCCAGGCTTCAATCTACCCCTTTTTGCTCAGGTAAAGCTCCTGCCTCAACTGAGCAGAGACCCCAAGGGCTGTGAGAATCAGCTTCCTGCTCAAACCCAGCCCAAAGCAAACTTCCCTCTCCGGTGAGGAAAAATGGGAGTAGAAGATGTTTAACTCGAGTATGTGGAACTTAAGTAATGAGGAATGTGCCTTCCTGGGTTCTCCTCACCATTCTGCTGCTGTCTGCTGGGGACCTGGGAGGTGGGGGTGTGGGAAGAGGGGGGCCAGCCTCAGAGAGAGCATTGACCTCGGTCCAAGCTCTGGCTCTGCTGTTTACTAGCTAGGGGAGCCATAGGAAAGTCCCTTTGCCTCTCAGAACCTCAGTTTCCTCGTCTGTCAAATGCAGATAAAAATGCTTGCGTTTCCTATATCACAGGGTGGTGGTGAGAACAATTTCTTGTAAACCGTAACAAGCCTTATGTAAGTGTGAGCTGGGATTATTCTGCCAGAGCAGAAGTTGGCACCCTGTGGCACTGCTGTTGCCAGCCCCCTTCCCTCCCACCACTGCTGTCTGAGAAAGGACTTGGGACACAGAAGCCCTAACCCTGAAGATGCTGTGCCCCCTACTCAGAAGAGTCCCTGTATCCTGGCTGTCTGAGTTTGTATGCAGCAACAAATTGGGGGACAGAGGCTGAAAATTGGGACTCTCCCCTTCCAGCTACATAGCAGAAGACAGACGTTCTTAATGTGTTTGAGAGAGCTTTGGGGCTCCTGTGGTAGAGTTTTTAATGTTTTGGTACCATACCCTCCATCACCATTTGGCCTTTCTGGCTTGAACTCCCCACATTTCTGCTCCTGGTCCCCTTATGTCTTCTCACTCCCACCAGGATATTCAACTGGGCTTTTCTCAAGTTCTTAAACTGCATCTTCCTGAACGTGCAGCTTCATCAGGGTCAGTTGGCTATGGTCCGTCAGGCTGCACAAGCGGTGAGTTTTCTCGTGGAGACCCCATAGCCCCATCCCTAAGCTTTTTCTGGGAACTTGCGCTCGTACCTCCTTCCCCTTGCCATCAACCCATGTGGGCCCTGGTTCTTTCCTGCATTTTGTTGGGGGAGTGGTAGGAGAAGCTCTTTCTCTTCTAATAAAGGATGTTTTGTGTAGAAATTGGGGAGGCTGAGCTCTTTGGCTTAGGGAGACCTCCTGGCCTGCTACTTATTTCTGTTAAGAGGCTACTACATTCTTCCTTCTAGCATGACTGTGGGTGGATGAAGGATGATTGGCCAACTCCCTACCATTGTTATCCTCCTTACCCCTATAAATAACCCCCTTCTCTCTCTTCCAGAAGGATACGCCGCTCATCTTTCTCTCTGCCCACAAGTCGTGTTTGGATGGGCTCCTGCTGCCCTTCCTGTTGCTCTCTCAGGGTCTTGGGGTCCTGCGAGTGGCCTGGGAACCCCAGTCTTACTCCCCAGCTCTCAGGTGAATGCCCTGCTCTCCCTCTCTCCCTCTCCCGTAGTGAATGAGAGAACACTCAGAGGAAGTCTGTGGTCACACAACACTGGGATAAGCTAGGGAAGGGGATGTGAATACTTCTGAGGATGGAGAGGGCAGTTAGTATTCAAAGATTTCCTAGAAACTTCCCTGTAGGCATTTTAGTGTCTGAATATTTTCCAAATATTTTAGTAAACCAGCTAGTACCATGACACAGGATCTGAGCCTGTGTGACTGGGGCTAGGCATCATGATATAAGAACAAAGCACTGCTTTTTACATATGGATTTGTGCCTTATTGCTTGTGAGATGTTCTAAACTGGTACAAGGAAGAGAGAAAGAGAGAAAGAAAGAAAGGAAGGAAGGAAGGAAGAAAGGAAGAACAAATGGATGAACTTCCCTGTGGAAAGTTATTCTCCTGTGTGTTGATTCCTCCTGACCCCTACCACTCATTTCCTTCATGCCTTTTCTATCTTATCACCCTGCAGACGCTAGACATAGAAAGTGTTTCATCTCCTCCATCCACAGAAACTGGTCCAGTTTGGTGCTTAGCTGGACTTTGGGTCCGAATCAGGACCTGGAGTGTTTCCTCTAGGCTTCAAGGGTCTGACCCCTGTTGTTTCTGGTCCTGAGACTTGAGGAGAGGAGACGTTGCCAGAAGGTTGGGTTTGTTCTGAGGGAGACCTGGAGTGCTCTTAAATCAAATGGGCCCTCCGTAGTGGACATAAGCCACCCTGCCTCCTGACCAGCTGCGTTTGCCTCTTTCCTTTGGAGATTAGGCGTGTTTCCCTGCATCACTTCTCCCCCTGTGTCCCTAGGGCTTTGCTGAGACATCTCGGTGGCCTTTTCATGCCCCCAGAGGCTAACCTCTTCCTGGACAACCCCAAAGGGATACTCTCCAGGGCTGTTCTCAGTGCTGTAAGTGCCCAGTCAGTGGCTAACATGGAGGTGTGGGTGGCCAGGTTCAGAGAGCTGAGTGCTCATTGAGTTCCTTTCTCCCACCCCTAAACTCTGCAGGCTGTAGAGCAGCTCCTGGCCAGCAAGCAGCCCCTGCTCATTTTCTTGGAAGATCGTCCTGGGGCTGTGGGACCCCGCCTGTCTTCCCATGGGCAGGCCTGGCTGGGGCTGGTGCTACAGGCATTCCGAGAAGGCGCCATCCCTGACGCAGCCCTAGTGCCCGTGGGCATTGGCTACGATCTGGCCCCTGATGTGCAGCATACCGGACCTCGGGTGAGGTTCTTCCTCGCTCTCCCTAATCTGACCACCCTCTGAATCCCTTAGCTTCAAGTCCAGGGCAAGGTCGTACCCTGTGTCTGGAAAGGACAGAGATGAACAGATAAGCCCTGCTATCAAATCCACGGGCAGGTCACACTCATGTTGGAGATGATGGGGTCATGGTGACGGGGGTTTGCCATGAATCTTACAGAAGAAAGCAAGAGATGCTCAAGGACCCCCTGTTTCCTATTGTAGCAGTACCAGTTTTCCCTCTGTGGGACACCTCGACGGGGGTAATTTATACTCGGCTTATTTTTGCCTCCCTGTATAGGCATCCTCTTCTCACCTGGGATTGTGGTGGGGGGCTCTGGCTGTGTTTCGAGGCTTGCGAGGTCATCGGGGCTGTGCCCGAATTGACTTTGCCCAGCCCTTCTCCCTGCAGGTATGGAGCCTAGGGGAAGCTGAGAGACCTAGAGATTCAAAACAAAATCTCAGGCCTGAGATGGGGCAGCTTTGGGGATTGGGGGGGGGGCTTTGTCCAGTCCTAAGACCTCTAGGTATCTATCACAATGCGCTGACCATAGAACCCTGCAGCTCCTCTCATGAGTGTGTGGGTTTTGAAGTTTTCCGGAGGTTCTGTTGCTCACAGTTCACCTAAGGTGAGGTTCTGGGTCAGTGGAAGAGAGATTGGGGATCATCTGACCCTCTGTCCTGGGCAGGAATACTCGGTCAATACTTGGAGTCGTGGAAGGAGCAGAGGACAGTCTTTAGAGCAGCTGCTGTTGCAGACTGTGCTTGGCCACTGGTAAGCACGGAGTGCGTTGGTTTGGTCTTGGGGAAGCCTAGGAGAGACGTCCCCCCCAGCTCCTTAGTACTTTCTGGCTGTTCTGTAGCTTTTCTCTGAAGGTGTTTTTGGGGGGAGTGAAGGTAGCAAAGACTGGAAAGAGACCCCCAGGAGACCTAATTTCCCTTGAACCACCTTCAGTCTCCAGCCTTGACCAAGGTTAGTAATTTTCAGTCTTAAATTTAGACTTAGATTTAGACTTCTAGGGCTGGAAAGGGCCCGAACGTTATTCCTCCAGAGATCATCCCTCTGTTTGTGGGCAGGTTGACCCTCCGTCATCGCAGAGAGAGGCAGGTGTGACCAGTGATCAAACTCCCTAACCCGCACTCGTAATGTGTTTCTTTGTCTTGGCTCCACTGTCTCTCCCAGTGTGTTCCCCTCTTCCCAGACCCCACTTGGCCTCTATTGCAGGTCTGTTCTTCCTGATTGTGAGAAACAGCAGGAGTGGACTCCGGCATCTGGGCCCCTTCTGGCCCTGGACGAGGAGGACCAGCTTCTCGTGAGCAGGCTGAGCCGCCACGTCTTGAGTGGTAAGCCAGTCCGGGGGTCAGGAACAAGGAAGAAACTTGTGTGTTCTGACTTGGGTGTGCTCATGGGATACTGCCAGGGCCATTGCAGGGTCACACAGATATCCTAAATATTTACTCTCTCCCTCTCTCATTTATCCCTGGGCCTGCAGAGTAGTATAAACCAGAGTCTCAGTTGGTAAATATACTGTTGGTAGCTCATAGGTTACTGAGGGAGACAACATGCAAACAATTATGTACAAGTGTATATACACAGGTGTGCGAGTGTAAACACTGTGTGCCCAGCACTGTTGTGGGCGCTATACAGAAATACCAAAGGGGTTTAAGATATCAGTTCTTATCCAGCTGGGGGGTTGGGGGGGAGATTGTCAAGATGTGTACACACGAAACAGGAAACCATACACTACTGCAGTTAGCCACATTGACAGTTGTGCAGTACAGACCATATATATTGTCTGGGTTGAGGACAGAGCGAGATCACTTGGGACTGGTGCTATTGGGAAATAAACCTGGATAGAGGTGTGCCTTACACATGTAAGACCTCAGGGAACGTTTGCTTACTCATAGTGTTAATTGATTTGAAAGATGGCTAGACTCAGAAGAAAGGCAACTTAATGTTTGGCCACTGTGGGCTGGGAACATAGACAGTTCTTGTACCCAGACATCTTTCACAGTACTTGGGGCCCCTGTGAGGGCAGGGTGGCAACGTTTGTTGTCAAAGACTGGAGTGGGAACGGGATGGTCCGTTTAGCAAAGTTTGCTTAAGGTTCTAGAATTTAAATGTGAACCATGGTTGGGAGCGCCACCTGGCGAGCTAGGCCATCCCTTGGGAACTGCATGGAGGGGAGGGGAGAGGTGTGAAGGTGCTCCTCCATTGTCCCTCTCAATGTCTTCTCTGACCGCAGCCAGCATCGCCTGCTCAGCCGTGATGGCCACGGCGGTGATGGCCGCCCTGCTGTTGCATCGGCATCGAGAGGTAGAGGTTGCAGCAGGGAAGGGGGCAATCTGATACGTTGGGATGTTTGTCTCTTGCTCAGGCATGTGGAGTGGTGGTTCCCCTGCCGTGGGTTTGGGGTGACAGGGAGGGGGCATCCCCTTCTTCCTCAAGCCTCAGTCCTTCCCTGTGGGTAGTCTCAGCATCTCTCCTGCCTCCCCGCCCGCCCTTCGCCAGTTCCTCACTCTGACAAGTGAGTTCTTTCCTCCAGGGAGTATTCCTCTCGAGGCTCCTGGAAAACTTCTCCTGGCTAACAGAGGAGACCTTGCTTCGAGGCTTTGACGTGGGTTTCTCAGGGCAGCTGCAGGACCTGGTGATGCATGGACTGTGTCTGCTGCATGGCAGCCTCTCCTTGTGGCTCCTGCCCCAAGGGGATGTCCTGGTGCTGCCCAGGGCCGGCCCCACGCTTGCTCAGCTGGCCTACCACAGTGCTGCCCTGCTGCCTGTCTTCCTTTGTGAGGCTGTGGGTGGTAAGTCTTGTGGCACTGGGTTAGGAAGGGAGAGAGATCAATTTCAGGGTGACTTTCCTGTGAATATTCTCGGGGCTGCCCTTCCACCACCCTTTCTTTGTGAGTACCATCAGAGCCTTTCTCTGGAATGCATTCTTTTCTCCCTGGTACCTCTCTTTCTCCTTTACTCTCTTTCTCCCCTGTCTAGCCTGTGCAGTCCGAGCCCTGCTGGCAGGCCGAGTGCCCCCAGAGGGACCCTGGGAGCTGCAGGGGGTGGAGCTGCTGAGCCAGCGGGAGCTTCATCGTCAGACTCTGCTGCTGCTGCACCTGCTTCCCCAGGACCTCCTCCTGCTGCAGGTCAGGGGGGCCGGCATCCTTGCCCTCGGCCCTGGCCCAGAGCTACAGCTCTGGCCCGTCTGGGGGCAGCTCCTCTCTTTCTCTCTCTCCCCAGCCCTGCCAGTCATCGTACTTTTATTGCCAGGAGGTTCTGGATCGACTCATTCAGTGCGGACTCCTTATAGCGGAGGAGGTAAAGACTCCAATTGATCGATTGAAGGGAGGAACTCTGCCCTGAGGCCTAGCTTGTTTTGTCTGCCTCTGATCTGGCCTCTCCCTTTCACTTGCTGTCTGACTTTAGAGTTGACTTCCTCCCCTAGGCCTGGGGCCCGGGGAAAGGCCCCCAGTGTCTGCTCTCCCATTGGCAGATGTGATCAGAGGAGGTGGCCCTGTGCTGGGGGCCTGCCTGCTGGAGCAAACCCCCAGCATTCCTATAAAGGATCTTTCCCGCAGGTCCCACTCTGCTGGGTGTTCTCTTCCTTGTTTTCTGATTGTTTCTTGTGTACCTTGTCTCCCCATCTAAGCCATAAGCATGTCAAGTAAATGAGTGAGCAGAGAATGGGACCTGCACAGACACTTCCCTGAAGTTCCTGGTGTCTGCCAGGAGTCAGGGAGGGGACCTCGTACTGCCATTAGGTGGGCATTGGCAAGGGGAGGGAGGAGTAAAGCACCAACTCCCACCCCACCCCCAGGCCCCTGGCACTCGGCTGACCTGTGATTCGGGGAATTGGCGCTTTGGAGAGAAGATGCTTTGGCGATCAATGGAAGACTTCAGTGACAGTGACAGCGACTATGAGGACGGCACTGATAGTCGCTGCTTCAAGGTGCGATGAGGCCCCTGGCAGAGGAGCGACGCTGGCACCCTGCTGGGGCATTGTGGAGAACTTCTGCCTCTTTCCCCCTCTAGCTCAGTCAGCAGCTGCGCTGCCCCGACTTCTTCCTCTTCCTCTGCCGCTTGCTCAGCCCCCTGCTCACAGCCTTTGCTCGAGCTGCAGCCTTCCTCCACCAGGGAAAACTGCCTGATACAGGTCAAGCCCCACCTTCTCCCCGCTCTCCTGCGGTCCCCTCCCCATCACCTTCAGGCCCGTCAGAGCTCCCAGCTTACTTCCCTCTGTCTTCCCTCTCCCGCGTCTTCCCGTGTCCTCCATTTTTCCTCCCTTGGCCAGAAGCCTGTGCTTGCCATTGGCAGTCCTACTGAAGCCCTCTGAGGTGGGGGAAGTAGCAGGACAGAGGCTCGGGTGTCAGGGAGGGGTTTGGAGGCTCGGCTCAGCTCTAGGATGAGACCATCATACGTCAGCTGCATCCGGGCTGGCCTCTTTCAGGTTGGAGTCAGAAGACACGGTTTCAAATTCTAGCTTCACCTCTTACTAGCAGTGGGAACTTGGACAAGTGACTTGATGACTTCTCTGGCTATCAGTCAGTCAACAAGCATTTGTTAAGTGATGTGCCAGGCACTGTACCAAGTTCTGGGCACAGAGTAGGGCAAAATATAGTCCCTTCCCCCAAGGTGCTCCCATTCCCATGGGGGACACAGCATGTGTACAACTGGAGACATGCAAGATCGAGCTTGGGTGAATTGGAGGGAGTCACAGAGGGAGGCCTTCACTGGCAGCTGGCCCGGGCCTGCAGGGAGTGGGAAAGGCCTCCTGCAGAAGGTTGGATTTGAGCTGTCTTGAAGTCAGTTTGACTCAGCTGAGCTGAGTCCATCTGGGATTGCCTGGTGGTCTCTGAGGTGCCTTTCAGCTCTAAAGCTCATGATCCTCCCTGAGGGATGGGGTGCTCCTGCTGTAGACCTGGAAGGGGCACACTAATTTGGGATTCTACCCTCTGTTGACAGAGGCAGGTTACACACAGCAACTGCACCAGTTCCTGCTGAAGAAGGCCCAAGAGGATGGTTCCTTTGGTGAGTCAGGAGCAGTCAGTTGTATCTCTCCCCCTCTTTTCCCCTTCCCCAAAGGGGGATCCTGCTTCCTTCAGTGTTGGGGTTTCAAGGCTTAGTTTCCTGGGTGACTGCTGTCACCTCTTGGCCACTATAAGTATAGCATGGAGATGGCAGCTCTGCCCCTCCCTTCTAGCCTTGCAGTCTTCCCAGAATCCTGAGTCTCACACCCTTCTCCCACAGTGCCCACACCGTGGAGCTGTATTGAGCAGCAGGCTCCCAGCCAAGAAAAGAAGCTTCCTGTTAGGGTTCAGAGGTCTCTCTGTCCCTAGGTGGTTTTTCCTGTGAACCCCGTGGTGGGGACCAAGCAACAGCGTCTCTCCTTCCTCTGAGCTATCTCTTTTTTCCCTCCTAGAGAGTACTGACCTGAGCCAGGCTCATAGTGCTGTGATGACCTTCAAAGATTTGGGGGTGAGTAGAGATGGATCTCTCCCATACCTAACTTCCCTGCTCCTTTCCACAGTAAGCCCATTGGGTTTAACCTCTCAAGAAAGTCTAATTTAACTCAAACTCCTGGGTTTTTCCCTCCTGGTGGCTGACAGGGACTTTGAATTTTACCCAAAGGCAAAACAGAATACAGTATAGGACTGATGTGTGCTGGGATTCCAGAGAGGATTGAAGAGGGGTTGGGAAAACTTCAGTACAACTCCACTTGTCCACCCTGAACAGTATACTGGTTATTATTTCCTTGAGAGACTTCACCATAGGCTTCTCGGGTGTGTCCACAAGCCCCACAGTGCCCACAGCCCTCCTAGACCACTTTGTGTTTGAGCTATTGACAGCCACGTTCCAGAGCTATCTTTTCACTCCCAGGTGCTGAAGGAACAGCCTGGCTCCACGGGCTCCACCCTCCATTTGTCTCCAGCCTTCACTATTCAGGAAAACCGGGAAAAGCTGGAGAATTTCATCTGTCAATTCATTTGTGGCTAGAGGTTCCTGGTATGAAGGGGACTGGAATGTCTTGTCCTGTGCCAGCAAGAAGCAGTTTCCAGCCCGACTGATGGAGCCCAAGCTGAGGAGAGTGACTAATAGTTGAGATTCTAATAGGTTATCACATGTCTCATGGATTATAAAGAGCCCCTAGGTTTGATTTTGAGATCCTGTGGTTGTGTTTCTTTGTCTCCCCCTGCAGCTCCTCTCTGTCCAGACTTACACCATGAGCAGTGTTTATATAAAGATGGGTATAAAGGTCAGCCCTCTCTCCCTACGTGTGGCATTTTCTTTCAATGTTACATAAATTCTTGAAGTCCTTCCCATGCCTCTTCTCTCTGCTGAGGCCAATCCTAACAGTCCAGGGCTCCCAGTCTAAACCATTCCAGGAAGGGAGATAGCCCCAAGCTAGTCCTGAATGAAGACAGAGTAGTAGAAACCAGGGGCTGCCTTCTCTGATGCAGGTATTGATGAGAAAGGCTTGAATGCTTGACAAGCAGCACAGTGTGGTAAGAAGGGTGGATCTGAAGTCGGGAGATCTGGGAATGATTCTTGCCTCAGCACTTAGGAAGTTGGTTGGGCAATACACAAGTCGCTTAACCTCTCCAAGGCTTTTATCCCTGTAAATCTGTGAAGTGGGAATGATATTTTTGCACTATCTACCTTAGATGGCTATTGTGAAGAAAGTGTTTTGCACATCTTTATGTGCTATATAAATGAATTATCATTAAGAATGTGAGGGGGACCAGTCCTGCAGACCCTTGACCTTCTGTGCAAGCCTGGAGTCTCTGACCAGTTGTGAGAGTGAGAACAGGGAGCCAGTCAGACCAGGTTCTGTCCCCTGTTTGTCAAAGGCATTTGATGTTGCACCTTCTTCTGGGTCTGATTCATGGCAGTTGAGTAGGAAATAGAACTCCTCAGTCATAGGGGAAATGCCAGCACCATACCTCCTTGTCAAAAATGACTCCCATCCCTTCAGGCTTGTGCTGGGCTTGGTCCCTCTTCTGTGACAAAGACTAGTTGCTATATCCTTTACTGTCTTTCCTCCCCACCCCCGCAAACAGTACTTCTCCCTTTCTTCTCTACACATACTCCAATCCCCCCTCCTCTCAAATGATGCATCTCTCCCATGAGGGATGAACAGGGAACCAAGCAGATTTTGAGATACCCTCTGGGTCTTTCCTCTGTCTCCACCCATCAGCCAGACCTTTAAAGAGACTAGGGGCTTCCTAAACATCCCAACACCTGCTGTCTCTAAAGACATCTAGATTAATGAGACTGTAACAGGGCAGGTTTCTCAAGCTGTGGGCTCTCACTTTCAGGGTGAGAATGCCCAGGCTCACTGCCAGAGAACCTGAGACAGGCAGGGACAGGTTACTCGGGAAAGGTGCTGCCTTCCTGAGGTGGTGAGACTCCTCTTTACTAGGAAGCCCAGCAGTGCGAACCTCCAGCTTAGGTGGTCAGTCCTGCTGTTCTGGACTCCCTCACCATTCACAACAATGGATCTGCAAATTGTACACCTCTAAAAAGATGGCACTGCCTTGGATATTTAGGGCCACTTTCTTCCAAAACATTTAAACATATTCTCTCATTCTACTCAGTGCATCAGTACTCAGTATCCTCACTTCCTAGATGGAGAGAATGGCATAGGAAAGGCAATAAAGCAACCTTGTCCCAAATTGCCCAGTCCTCAGCATTTGCTGTGTACAGAGTTGCACTGTGCCAAGCATTGAGTGGGGAGATGGTACAAGAAAATTGGAAAATCTGGTCCTTGGCCTTCAGTAACAGGTGATATTTATATAGTGTTTTATATACGTTATGTGTCTCATTCGGCCCACAAAAACTTTTCAGGCAAATATTACCTGTTGTATTAGTGCTGTTTTACAGATGAGGAAACTGAGTTTCACAGACATTGAGTGGCTTATCCATAGTCATGATTTGAGGTCCAGTGTTTTTTCAACCCTTTCATGCTACAAGTTATGGAGACAAAACTTTAGTCAGTAAGCAGTTATTAAGTGCCTGTTGTGTGCCAAGCACTGTGTGGTAGATGCTAGGTACCAAAAAAACAAAACAGGCAAGACAGTACCTGCCCTCAGGAAGCTTCCATTCTAGTTGGGGTAAGGGAAGAGGAAACAACAGGGACACATGTCCCTATATATAAGATAGATACAAGGTAATGGTGGGCCAGGAGGAGGAGGGGGCTGTAGCAGCCCAGGACACCATGAGAAACCTCACGAGGTAGCGCTTAAGCTGTCTTAAACACGCAGGAAAAATGACTTGGGCCTCCCAAAGCCATATAACAAATGTAAATTGAGTAATGCCTCACTAACTGGTGTCTTTTCACTTGGGTCGGTCTTCAAGGTATGTGATTTTCCTTTAAATACCAAACCTTTTTTTTAATCGAAATCTTCCTGAAGTGTTTTATCTGCTTTCATAAATAGGCATATATGAAACATTATTTAAACTTCTTAGTGACTCAGTTATTGTGCTGTATTATAGTGAAGCCCTCGGGGCCACCGAGATATGTTGCAGTTTGCTCCCACTCCAGATGGCCGCAGGCAGTTGTGTCTTAGTTCTCATCTACTCTTGCCTTCTCTGTTACCCACACTGTCACTCTTTGTTTCTGCCCATGAGAGCACGGTACTTCTGATGTGCTATTTCATTTTACACAGTGGTCTGGGTGCGGGCATGAGAGAAGTTTCACTGTCTCCTGCTAAGGAGTGGGCATGGTCTATTGCGATAACTGTTTTTCTTACTAAACCCTTTTATGTTTATTTCCTGATTTGATGTTATCTGAGCTCCAGATAAGTAGAGCATTACTGTACCTAAATATAAAATGTTGATGGCAGACTTAAGATTAGAACATTCTCAATATCTATTCCGTTGGTTACTCTGTGAGAGTAACACATGGCAAGATAAATGATGTTAGAACCAATGTGGCATGGAAATCATCCAGTGAGGAGAAAAGAAAGACTCAAGTTAACGTTCCTCACTCCTCCTGCCTCAGCAGTCTTGTTTCTGACACTTGCTTAGAGTCTGGAATTCTCTGGAATTCTGCCTTAGAGTAAACTGTGTACAGATGCAAATTCAGTTCAACAAATATCTGTTAGACATATATCGGAATAAATTCCCATAAAATTAAAATGGATTCTCAACGGATTGAGCAAAGGTGCAAAGAATAGAGTTCTAGAGGTAGGCTCGGGAAGACCTGAGTTCAGATACAGCCTCAGATACTAACTGTGTAACACTGTCTTCCTCAGTGTTCGCTAAATGGGGTAAATAATGGGGTTAATGATAGCACCTGCCTCTGAGGAATGTGAGAATCAAATAAGATACTTGTCAAGCACTTAGCACAGTACCTGGCACAAAGCAGGTACTTAATAAATACATGGTTTTTGTTGTTTTTGTGGGGGGTGGGGGGGGATTGTGAGGCATTTAGGGTTAAGTGACTTGCCCAGAGTCACACAGTTAGTAAGTCTTATGGGTCTGAGGCCAGATTTGAACTCAGGTCCTCCTGACTCCAGGGCCGGTGCTCTATCCACTGTCACCTAGCTGCTCCAATGCTTGTTTTTTTTTTTAAACGTTCCTTTATCACCAATGCAGAACCTCTATGGAAGAAAATATCAAAGGTTTATCCTAGTACCCACTACTTCTCATTACAATTCAAGAACCAGTCGTAGACGTGTGTGTCATTTCCCTTGCTGAAACCGGTTGTGTGAGAAATGGCATCTGTGAACTATGGGGAGTGAGATAACCTTGTACATGAAGGTTAGATCTGGCCAGGTTGAAGATTAGGTATGAATACTACTAGCTTATCTTACCCACAGGTCTCAATTTCCCGTAATTAATAACTATGGCATTCCTAAGCAAAGGAAGCTGAGCAGGTCTATTTCCTCAAGCTACATCTGAAGGCCATGAATAGGATTAGTAGAACTAGTAACAAGCTTTTCTTTTCATATATATATATATTTATTTATTTTTAGGCAATTGGGGTTAAGTGACTTGCCCAGGGTCACACAGCTAGTGTCAAGTGTTTGGTCTGAGGCCGGATTTGAACTCTGGTCCTTGTGACTTCAGGGCCGGTGCTGTATCCACTGCACCACCTAGCTGCCCCCAAGCTTTTCTGATGTTCATAAATCAGAGTCAGAGGGTCCTGCTCAAGCTCACCATCCTCATTACTTTGAGATGTTTGTTTTTCTTTGTAACGACAAAGGCCAGCTCCATTTCCCAAGAGTATTATGAATAGTATCACCATTGAGTTAACATTTCAATTCCTCAAAGTGTGAGAAGAGAGGGAGTCACACCAGTAGACAAGAGACAGAGATTTAGGATCTAGGGCTTATGGGCTGAATCTCTAAGACAGTTGTACTCATGACCACATGCCTATATTTGCAATCACCCATCAGCCAGAAAAGCCATAAGACTCTGCCTGAGACAGAAGTTTGAAAACAAGTTTTGAGCAATAACAGCATTATTAGAACATGTACACAGCCTCCTTTATGACTTTATTGAAGGAGAGCACTTGCTTGGATGAGTAAATTCTGACATGATTAAAGTTTTTTGCCAAAAGACAGCCTCATTCAATTATAGTCATCCTTCACAGCCTGTGTAACAGCTAGTAGATTAGGATTTTAGATCTAATCCAGAATTAAGAGGTCTTGTACAGTCTGAGTATCAATATTGTAAGGCCAGAATGCCCTCAGGATAGAGCTTCGAGGTAGACTGATAATAGCAAGGAGGAAAGAATGGGAAAGGAAAGGATTAGATTTGGGAGCATTGGATACAGCAAAAGGCTAGAACCCAGCTGAGGAGTGGGATTGTGTGGGGAGGTGAGTGGCCAAAGGAAGCCAAGACTCTGAAGTTCCAATCCCAGGTAGAGAGCATCTTTTTGCCAAAACTAAATCATTGGGTTTTAAAATACTTCTTATGCTGTATCAGTCAGTCACCACTTGTTTCTATGCAAATGTCCAAACCAACTCTGCTTTCATCATCCTAACACAATCCTTGTCATTTGAAGATCTCAAAGCACTATAAACACTAGATCCCATGGGGCTGGAAGTGAGACTAAAAATAAACATGCCCCTCCCTCACTCTGGAATTTTTGGTCCAAGACTTTTCTAAACTGGGCCTGAGGAAAAAGTTTTATAGGGTTAGGATGAACAAGCTTAGCCTAGGGAGCAGGGCAAGGATCTTCAGGATGGCATAGTCCGGCAGTGGGAAACCTGCAGCCTTCAGGTCACATGTGGCCCTCTAGGTCCTCAAGTGCGGCCCTTGGAC